ACTTTTAATAAAAAAAAATATATGTTTTAAATAACGTGTGAAATCATTTTATTTCGTCCATGGATATATATTATTAAAAAAAAAATCATTACGGAAATGTGATTATTCCGAATTAAATTTTCTACGAAACGAAGTAATCAAAACGGCCCGTGACTGAAAATTTTTATCTGCCGACGACTTGGACCGATTCGAATTTTCAATTAAATTATTGAACAAACTACAGGACAAAAATCTTTCATTTTCAATATTTAATTTCAAAAAATGTCAGATCTTAATATCATCGTCATATAAAAAAACAAAAATATGAACCTGACGTGAATCGAACACGCAACCTTCTGATCTGGAGTCAGACGCGCTACCATTGCGCCACAGATCCATTTGTGATATTCTTGTATTCTAATTTAATTTATCATGAATCTGTAGAACGACTTTTGGGATTATATTGAAACTGTTTCAAGTCAAATTGATAGCATCTATTTGGGATTACTGGTCCAACATTTTTGGTTTATTTTGTTAGAACAATTATGCATTATAAATGATTACAAAAACTATATTGTTAAAATAACAAAATCTTAAAGTTTCGAATAAAAAAAATTAGTATGTTATAACCATTTAAATACACATTGGGTTTTTGACTTGTTACACTCTTAGCTAAGTTTTTATATTTTACTCATTTGACTATTTGAGAGAAAATATGCCTTAAATCAATCCATTCAAAAAAAAAGACTAATATTATAAAAGTCCTAAAATTTTAACGCGTAATTGGAAAAAGCACTAATATTTTTTTTATTGTTGCTATGGCCACAACTTTCTCGCAGGATTATTACTCTAGCCCACTTAACGAGTTTCATGGTTAACTTGGTTAAATTTTTGCAAAATCAATCCTAAAAAGTTCAAATTTAGTCCCTGAGGTTTGCAAAAATTACACCACATGGCTTTTTAACTTTATTTTTCATTTTTTGTATACTTTATTTGTTTTCGGTTTTTTTATAAATATATATACATTTTTTATTTTCTTTTTTATATACTTTATTTATTTTCATTTTTTAACTTTATTTTTCAACAATTTAATTTTTTTTACCTTTTATACCTTTTGCTTTCTATTTTTTTCTATCTTAGTTATTTATGGTTTTTCTAATTTTTTTATTTATTTTGATTCAAGTAAACGAACTCGAATTTAATATAAATTACTATAACAAGTTTTTTATACAGACCGATTATTATTATTATTATTATTTTCTTTTAGCCTATTATCAAATTGAAAAATATCACTAATTCTCAATAAACAAGCTAATTTTTTTTTAATTTTCATTTTTTCGTAACATAAATATAATAGCACTAAAGAAAAAAAATATTAAAAAGAAAATAAGTTGGACCGAAATTACAAATATAAATAACAAATTCATTTACTTGAATAAAAAATAAAAAAAATTACAAAAACTATTAAATATAAATTGTAATATAATCTAATATATTAATACATTTTATATTTTTTGAAAAAGGTCAATAAAAAGTTAAAAATACAAAAAAAAGTAAAAATAAAAACAAATAATTGGAAAACAAATAAGAAAAAAATTAAAAAAAAAGATGAAAAAATTAAAATATAATATACTCTATATATACACTATAAAATAGAAAAAAAGGTAAAAAAAATCAAATTGATGAAAAATAAAGTTAAAAAATGAAAATAAATAAAGTATATACAAGAACGAAAATAAAAAAATGATATATTTATAAAAAAAAACCGAAAATAAATAAAGATACAAAAAACGAAAAATAAATTTAAAACATCATGTGGTGTAATTTTTTGCAAACCTCAGGGACCAAATTTGAACTTTTGGGGACTGATTTTGCAAAAAAATTAACCAAGTTAACCATGAAACTCGTTAAATGGGCTAAAGTAATAATTATGCGAGAAAGTTGTGGCCATAGCAATAATAAAAAAAATATTAAGGCTTTTTCCAATTACGGGTTAAAAATTTAGGGCTTTTATAATATTAGTCCAAAAAAAAAAAAAACTGTTACTTCTACCAAGAAAATTTGTGGTATCAATTCAATCTTGAATGATAGGTTTAAAGAAATAACATAAACAGATTACACATTATACAAGGATTCCATCAAATAAAATAACAAAAAAGAATCTGTAAATTTACCTGAATCACTGAATGATTCAAATTCCAATCTAAATAAACATAAATCTACCCCAAAAAAAAAGTAATAATACAGATTACACATAATGTGAGGATTCCATGAAAAGGAATTGTGAAATTAAGGAAATAAAGGCATGCATTTGAGCCCAGTGTTTTCTGGAATTCCCATCATCAAGTTAAGATTCTGTAAAGCTTGACCAGAAGCTCCCTTTACAAGATTATCAATCTGCAACATAATTTATTTATTTTTTATATAAAATCAGCAAAATAATCACAACAACAACAAAAAAAAATGTTCCGATCATTTTTTATTAGAATTAAATAGAAGAAATAGAAAGAAATGAAAGTATAATAAACACATACCACAGATATGATTATTGCTCTCCCAGGGATGCGATCAGGGAAGACATTTATATGACAAGCATTAGAACCTTGAACATATTTGGTGTGTGGAGCTTGATTATCAGGCAACACAGCTACAAATTCTTCATTCTACAAAAAAATAATAATATCAAGAACATAAAAATATTATTTTTAGTAAAATTAAGCGGTTGTAGCAGGTTTGCAGATAGTGTGGGAGTTTCAATTTCAATGTGAATTGGGCTCCTTGCGGACACTGCTAGCAGACTATTGTGTATCTGATTTACATCTGACAGTGTTGTGGGCCAGCTTAGAGGTTGTTGGAAGAATAACCCGTGTAAATTAAAAATAAAAAAAATTACCTCATAGAAGCGCGTCAACTGTTGTTTCAAATCTTCAACTGAAACTCCAGGAGCCATTTGTATGTTTATAGTTGATTGCATGCCTCGGCTCTAGAAATAGAGTAAAAAATTTTATGGAAAATTAGGTGTTTGATTTACCAATTTTGATTAAATAAATTTATATAAGTTAAGATTAGCCAATTTTATATAATTTAATGAAGAAGCAAGAGTAACAATTACCATTGGCATTAAAGTAGGAGTAAAGCTGATGGTCACACTTGAATTTGCAGCATTTGATAGTTCTTGTTCAATTTCAGGCACTAAAATTAAACCACAAGTTGAAAACAGATTAAAATATGATAAGACAGGATAGAACAGGTTGTACTGTGTTTGGCATGCATTGGACTGGGGTTGATGTGATTGGGACAATAATTATGCAAAAAGGTGGGACAAGGACTAAAGATATTTTTGTCTGTGCAAAAAGACATGAATGCCCTCCCGATCCTCATCATTGAAAATAGTTTGTACCATGACGATGCCTTGTGATGCCATAAGAGAATATTCCTTCTGATATTTCTGTGTATAAATTTGCCTCTTTTGCACTACGTCCTGCAAGGCTCACCAAACATTTACATAAATACTCTACAAATGACTTAATAAAGAAATATTCCTTCAGATATTTTTGTATATATGGGTGATTCTTTTTCCCTTGATACATAAAGAACGACTTAATAGATGAAGTCAGAGAAATAAAGATTTTCCCTCTTTTTACAAGAATGAGACTAAGATTTCACAATACATTAAGCCAGGTTTTTGGCTTAACCTATTAAGTCATTCTGTCTAGATTAAGTCAAAAAGAAACAACCATATATAGTTGTCCAGATTAAGTGCTTAACCCATAAAAGCCCATTAAGTAAAAAAGAAACAGTTATATAAGTAACCTGCTCCACTAACTCCAGAGTTTGAGACAATAACAATATTATCCAATGCAATAAGACTAGCATTCATCAAAGGAACAAGAGGGAGCAAAACAGTAGTAGGATAACATCCAGGATTTGCAACAAGACGTGCACTTTGAATCTTTTTTCTATATATCTCAGTCAAACCATAAACAGCTTCTTTCTGCAAACATATCAACAAAAAGACTCTATAACAAAAGGAAACTTTTTTTTTTAAGAAATTGATTGATTTAGTAGTTAAGAGTTTAGGTATACAAATATAATGAAGAACTTAGACCTGCAATTCTGTTGCTTTATGAGGCTGACCATACCATTCTCCATAGTCATTAATATCTCTTAATCTAAAATCCTGCAAACATTGCTTGTTACATGTTTTGTTGAATACTCAAAATGCTGAAAAAAATTAAGAAAAAACTAGAAGTTTATAGAATGTACAGCAGAAAGATCAACAATCTTTAAGTTAGATGGAAGGCCTTTGATGATTTCCTGCAATAAGATTATTTATAAAAATATCATAAAAAAAAAAAAGGTGATCAATGATGGAATTGAAAAAAGGGTATTGTACAATTGAAGACAACCTGCGTGGTGCCATGTGGCAAACAACAAAATACAGCATCTACAGTTGAAAAGTCTGCATCTTTTACAGCAACCAAATCAGGTAAATCCTGCAAAATATAGAAGCAACAATGCAAGATAAATGAAGCTTCTTTGAACTACATGGTAAATTAATTTGACCAATTGAATACCTGTGTGATTAGATGTGGAAATACTGCTCCGATTGATTGACCAGCTTTTCTATCAGCGGTCATTAGAGAAATGTCAAAGTAAGGATGGTTTGCAAGGAATCTTATAAGCTGTAAAAAAGGTGGATTTTTGTAGTTAAATTATGAAAAAATGATGAGTAGATGTATAAACGAACGATTTACCTCTACACCAGTGTAACCACTAGCTCCAAGAATACCAACTTTAATGGACTTATCTGATTTCTGAGCAGCTGATACCACTGAAAACCTCGTGGGCATTTTCCTGATTTTTAGCGATTTGGATTCTTCCTATAACTCAATTCAAATTATTATTTGTAGTTACTTTCACTAAGGATTTGAGCAGTATTGATTGATACAAACCTGGAACCTTGAAAAGCACCCTCCATCCATGAAAATTGAACGCAGAGCAGCCATGGAACTCATTTTCTACTCAAATAGCACTACAATATGGCAACAAAAAGATGAACTGAAGCTGAACAGTTAATTACAACAAACAGATTATCGGAATCATGCACACACGTTTTAAATTTGCCTGATTTACTAAAATGTGGGTCGATTATGGAAAGAAAAATGGTTGATGATTATTATATCCTAAACAGAAAGCATAACGGAGAATACCCATCCTCCTACTCCGTCTATCTGATGAGAAAGTTGAAGCAATCGGAAAAACTGAGTAATTACGAACAATGTAATGTGTATTTGGACATACCTTTGGGAATTACAGTATAGCTGATACTGAAATTGATCTTGTTTTTGCCGGATTTCGAAGAGCAGCTTCCAACTTCAGTTGAGTATGCGAGACACGATAGAATGGTGGAGCAAAAGGAGGCGGAGGAAGGGTTTATTAATTAACTCCAATTAACTGTTATGAACCCCCAAAGGGTTTATTAAGTTTATTTCTTGGGTTAATACAGAAAAAGACACATATCTTTTCGGATTCGAACTTTTTTTTTTTCTAAAACTTTATGGTTTCTTTATTTTTATTTTTTTAATTTGACCGTTTTAACATTTTTTTTCCTTAAAAATTTTAGAAAATGCTAGAGAATTTTCAATAAAATAAAAAGTTAAGTGTTTTTCCCAAAAAAAAAAAAAAAATCTTCGTATTTTGGCTTTATTAACAAAAAAATCATCCCTTAATTTATTTATTTATTTCTTTATTTAATTTTTTGCAATTTAATCATCGAAACCGGTTAACACTTGTAAAATAACTCATGTACCCGATTAGTATCGGTTTTAAGGGTTAAATTGCAAAAAAAAAAAAACCATTGATGACTTTTTCGTTAACAACGCTAAAGTTTTCTAAAGATATTCTTTTTTATATATATTAAATTTATTTGAATAAAATATATATTATTTATTAAAAACATAAAATACAGATATCATCTACATCTCTTTCACTAAAAAAACTCATGTTTTTTTATTAATAAAAAACACAATAATGATAATTTATATATGATTTTGGGATTTTTTTGTGATTCTCTTTAATAAATATCATTACTATAATCATAAAGATATTATCTAAATACAATTCCTAAATAGAGTCTCATGATATATTTGACCTAGAACCCATTCTTTATGACAAATCAACAAAAATCTTATTAATTGTATTTAACATATGTTTTTATAACTATTGTAGCTCCTATATTAGGGTTATTGTCATAAAAGTCTCATATTTACATGAAATGTGTGGTTATTTCCTAAGTATCGATTTTTTAATAATTATTTGACATGCTGTCAATTTTTTGCAAATAAACATAGGACCTTCCATGTTCAACATGTGCATGTGGTCTGATGCTTTCCCTTCTTCCCCGAGAACAGAGGTTGAAGTGATGGTTCGTGGATTTACGTCTTTGGTTAGAACCGACTTGTTTAGCTTTGTCTTAGGAATCCATTGAAGGTAACCGAAGGAATTAAGCGAAATATAAAACTTCTCAGAGAAAACACATTAGAATTGAGTGAAATGTGGAGTATTCATCTTCATAAATTTATACAAAATTGTATTTTTTTTTTTTTTAAAAGATAAAGAAAGGCAAGATCTTGAATGAAAAAGATAAAGGTGGCAAGGGGAATCAGTTTGCCCTAACAATTAATTATAAACCATAAAGTTGGATTGCCTCTACAATAACCAAACCACAATATCTTTAAAATGGTTCTTTTCTATTATTTTAATAATGGGTTTTCTCTACATATTTTTTTATGTTCAAAATACCATTAAAAATAAAAAAAAAATAAAAAAATACTAGTAATTAGGTATAATTTCCATCTCATATAAATTGCATCAACATATAACTTACATAAAATGTGTAGTAGTAGTAAGTTGACAAAAATTGTGCTTTTGGTTTTACACACGTGCTATAACTATACAAATTTGTGCTAATGGTTTTAAAAACTATACAACAACTTCAAGAAATCTTGAAATGTTAAAACTTTAAAGTAATGAAACCATCTTTTTCACCGATCTAAACTAGTAAGAAACGGACTTCTGAATGTTCTTCTACTGTTGTTGATTGGTCTGTTTTCCTCAACCGTTTGTGGCATCATTTCAGACAACCGTACTCTTTCGTTACTGATCCTATTCTGTTAAGAAAACATTCAAATACATATGAGTATTTTCTTTTCTTTTGACTTAATGTAGAATAAACGATTTAATAGAAAAAATATATATATATATATATATCTTTAATACCTTATGTTGTAGATCTTGTAATTCTCTTTCAAGGGAGGCCACACGTCCCTGCAACTGTTCTAATGCTTCTTCCGCCATGGAAATGCTGACATCAGATGTCGGCCCTGTTATGCCAGCTACCTGTTTTGCACAAACCAAAAAAAAATGTTTATTCAGATGAACAGTATGCTGCAAGAACACAGATAATGTGTGATACGTATTGGACTGAGTGAGACTAACAGTACAGAACAGAACAAAACATAACAGGTTCTATTGTGTCTGATGCAAAAGACATAAGTGCCCTCATGAACAAAAGACTTCCAAAAAAGCATGGGTGTTTTTATATAATAACACGAACCTTTAAAATGCTGGTGCACAAGGCTGCCAACTTCTGTGCTAATAGATCCCTCTCTTCTTCTGTTCCCTATGAATAAAGTAGATAACAAAATATAAAGTCAAATCTTTCATAGCATGGTCAACCCTTTTTTTTTCATTAAGTTTTGTCTGGATGTTTTAGAAAAAATCTTTGAATAAACAGCGGCAGGCACATATTAGAGTAAATTACATTTTTGGTCCTTGAAGAAAACTGATTTTTCAGATTTGTTCTTATCAAATTTTGGTTCTTATTTAAGGTTTTTGATCACTGTTGCAAGTAAAATGACTATATTTTGGGACCAAAATTGCAAAAATCAGCTTTACTGAGGGACCAAAAATGTAATTTACTCAAGGAAAAGAGTACACTACACTACCTTAAGTTTTTCATGAATTTGTAGCTCAGTTTCCACATCAGAAAAGTCGTTCCCACTTTTTGCTCGTAAATTAGCAAGTTCTTCCTTAACACGACAAAGTATTTCATCTGATCTTCTCAGCTTACGAATTAATTCATCATTCTGATTTTTTAAACTATTATTCTCCTCCTGTTATATAAAAAAAATATATCATCTTTAACAACATTTTGCCCAACCAATATGAAAAAAAAAAAATGATTTGGATTATTATTATTATTATTATATCTTGCCTTTATTTTCATATGGTGATGAATTCTTTGTTGAATATTTTGCTGGCCTGATAATTTCTTGACTTCAGCTTCAAGCTCAATGACTTTCATCTTGTGATTAGCAATTTCGGTCTATAAGCACAAAGGCAATTTAGCAAAATAATTGAAAAATAAAATAAGTGCAAAAAGGTTATTTAGGATTTTAAACCTTGAACATTTCATTTTCGGTTTTGAGTAAACGATCTCTTTGACGAAGTTGTTCTAATGCAACTTGTGCTGTGATCAATTCAGATTGTTTTCTTTCAATTTCCTCCAGCCACCTAATAATATTAAAAAATTAATAATAAGAAGAAGAAGAATATCATTCATACCACCATTGCATGGTTATGTTTGGTTACCAAGGAATGGAATGGATTATTCCATTCCTTCCATGATTCCATCATACCAAACACTACTTAAAGTCTAAAATTAAAACTTGGATGCCTATTTGTTTACCCCTTTCGCTCCATAACTAACTCATTCAGTTGCTCCTTTAGCTTAATAACCTCCTCTTCCTGCAAAAAGAAACATACATCAATTTTATATATTATATAATAACATTTTGTCGGGTCCCACAAAATGAAATTGTTTACATTACCTGAATATGTACTTCAGCATTATGAATTCGAGCCTTTTCAGTTATTTCCTCAATTTGGTTGCCATCCATCAACGACTGCCATTAAAACAAACACATTGATTATTAAAGATTAAAAAAAATCACTTCAGAAAACACATTGGAATCAATACAAGAAACAAAATTTATAATAGTTTTTTACCGAATAAGTTGTCATATCCATCTTTATGCCCAACAAATCACGCAACACATCATGAGTCATGCTCCCTGACATAGCCAATTTTGCATTCAATGCAAATATCTGAAAATATAAATTCATGTAAGACATGATATTCTTTCGGAAAAAGATAAATTTTATCTATAAAAAGATTTGAAATTTATGCCTCTTTTTGGCGACTTGCAGCCAATGCTTCAAGCTCTTCAATTCGCTTTCTTGCAGTAGTAAGCTCTTCATCTCTCTCAGACTTCATTTGTTGTGCTAATCCTATTCCTATGCATTTAAAAGGGGAACCAGATCCTCTTGTTCTTGATCCATTCTTTTCTAGTTTCTTTGATGGTGAATTTGAGATGTGGGAAACAGAAACATCTGATTTGACTTGGTCAGCAACAGCCATTGCCTCCAACGCTTTAAACTGTTTTTTGAAGTTAAGATTGTAAAAAAAATATCAAGAATTTAATCAAAAAAAAAATCTAACTATTGTTTACCGTTTGTTTGTACTCTCTAGCTTGAGCTTCAGCATGCAGATTAAGCTCGGAAATGTGAGCTTTATGTTGGACAATCTAAGAAAAAATTTAAAAAAGAATAAAAATACAGGTTAAATTAGTTAACTTACATATGGGTTTAATCAGATTATCAGATACAAGAAAAAAGAGAAGAACTTGCACCTCTTTATCTTTGTTGGCAATCTCTTTTTCAAGAAGTTCAACCCGCTGAAGGGACTCTTGAAGACTTTTCTCTTTTTCATTCAAAGCTCTGTAGAAAAAAGAGTAACGTGTCAACCAAAATGCAGTATTATTTCAACATTACTTTGATGAGTTATGGTTATCAAACCTTTTCACGTCTGAATCACTAGTTTTGACTTGGTTGATTTGTTGTTTAAATGCATGAAACTCTAGTTCTAGCTCTTCCCTTTGCAATCGTTGCCTTTCTGCATCTCCTTTGACCATGTCAACCTTAAATATACAACAAAAATTAAAAATACATCTAAAGTTTTACAATATAATGCTAACTTCCAATTAAAAAAAAAAAAAAAAAGAAGAAGCTAACCTGGTTTTCAAGGACAGTCACCATACAATCCAGCTCTTCAACAGATTTCTCATATAATTTCACCTCCTCTTCTTTCTCTTCAGCATACAGTCTACTTGTTTCAGCAATCTATATTCAAAAAAAGAATTAACAATGTTGTAGAAACGAGATTTCATTAAGTAAAAACAAAACAATAACATTCAACTACCTGTTTGGATTCGGTAGCAATTGCCTCATTTTCTTCAGCAAGAGCTTGTGCCATCTCTAACTCCTTTCTTACTTCAAGAAGCTCACAGGTTCTTGATTCAACCAATGTTTCCATTTCAACAAGATTAGTTCCCAATTGAACCAATTCCATTTCCATTCTCTCATTAGCTTCCTTGACCTTTGCCAATTCCATTCCGGTCGTCTCATGTGCTTTTAAGGCATCTTTCAGTGTTTGGATTTCAGAAAATAGTGATTTTACCAACTCACGCTCTCTTGAAACATCTGCTTCAAGTGCATTGATCATGGCAACTTTCTCCTTCAGTTGACCTTCAAGAACTTGACCTTTTACAATGTTTTCATCAAGCTCTTCCGCTAAAGCCTCCAGAGAAGCTTCTAATTCTTCAATTTCATCTTTCTGATCTTGAGTTTTGGAGGAGGATTCCTGTAACAACTGTAAATCAAATACTAACCCTTCAACAACTTCATCCTTTCTTTCCAACTCACTGTGAACATACATATTTTCAGAAATCACCTCGTTCAAGATGGAATCTTTCAATTGCATATCCACATTAGTCATAATCATGTTTTCTTCAAACTTCTCAAGAACCATAAACATGCTGTTATTCTCATTTTCAAGAATCTTTCTTCGTGAATCGATTTGCTTTAGTTTTGATGACACATTAAGCAGCTCAATTTCTTTTGCCTTGACATCTTTCTGCAAAAAGGCAACCTCAGCTTCTTTCTCCAACAAGATGGAATCTTTCAGTTGTATATCCATATTGGCATAAATCATGTTTTCTTTAAACTTTTCAAGAACCATAAACATATTATTATTCTCGTTCTCAAGATTCCTTTTATGTGAATCCATTTGCTTTAGTCCTGATGTCACCATAAGCAACTCAGCTTCTTTTCCCTTGACATCTCTGTGCAAATTGGCCACCTCGGCTTCTTTCTCCAACAAGATGGAATCTTTCAGTTGCATATCCACAATGGCAATGATCATGTTTTCTTTAAACTTTTCAAGAACCATTAACATGCTATTATTCTCATTCTCAAGATCCTTTCTTTGTGAATCCAATTGTTCTAATCTTGATGACACAATAAGCAGCTCAATTTCTTTTGCCTTCACATCTTTGTTCAAAAAGGCAACCTCAGCTTCTTTTTCCAACAAGATGGAATCTTTTGATTGAATATCCACATTAGCCATAACCATGTTTTCTTTAAACTTCTCAAGAACCATTAACATTTTGTCATTCTCATTCTCAAGATCCTTTCTTTTTGAATCCATTTGGCTCAGCCCTGATGACACGATAAGCAGCTCGGCTTCTTTGTCCAGCAAGATTGCATCTTTGAATTGCATATCCACATTAATCATAATCATGTTTTCTTTAAACTTCTCAAGAACCATAAACATATTGTTATTCTCATGCTCAAGATCCATATTTTGTGAATCCATTTGTTTTAGTGCTGATGACACAATAAGCAATTCAATTTCTTTTACAAACAAATCCACCATGAACTTCTCTTCAAGATCTCTCAGCTCTTCATCTTTATCCATGGCATTCATTTCCTTCACTAAAGCAGAAAGCTCAGATCCCATGTAATTCAATCTTTCCACCATTGCTTCCTCTTGAAGCTGTAAGCTTAGTATCCTCTTTTCAAAACTGGCTAGCTTCATGGAAAGCACTCCAGTTTCTTCTGTACTCTTAGTGACATGATCAAAACTATTCTTGATGTCAGCAAGTAACTTCCCTTGAACCACTCTACACATTTCCAGCTCTTTTCTTGATTTCGAGTTATGGTCCTTTAGTTGTGACACTAGAGAATTCGATTCACATAAACCATGTTGAAGCAAACCATTTTCTGCATTCAGACCAGTTACTGTTTGCAAGAGTATTCCCATGTGACACACATGTAGCACTGACACAGCACAATCTTTCATAATAATCTCAGACCATATGTCTTCAAGCCATGAATGAATTAACTTACTTGAATCATGAAGGTGAGACTTCATGGAAAACAAATCAGACACTGTTGGCATCAAATCCTTATCTACCAAAGACTGGATTTCCATAATCATACCCTCGAGCTCCCTTACTTCTTTCTTCATTCCCATAATATCTTCTTCATAATTTTCCTTAAGGGTATCCCTCTCATTGACTAAAGCAACCTCCTTTTTCTTCAAAGCTTCAATGTCAAGCTTCATGGTTTCATTTGCAATCACGAGCTCATTGATCATAACATCTGCTTCTTTGATTGTGTAATGAGCCTCTTCAAACTTAGCAAGAACACAAGAAGATTCTGCTGCATGTTCTGCTGCATTTACCTTCGCATCCATAAGTTCAAGCTCGTAAAGCTATGTAGTTAAAGAAAAATGTCAATTATAAGATACCCTTTCGACAATTTCCTAAAAGGAGAACTTTTTGTGTTCAATCATAGAGGAGATGCATAGCATACCTTTCTTTTGTAAGAGCATGATTTGCATGATTCTTGTAAAAGTTCTTCAACAGTTTGTATCTTGTGATCCAAAGAACCCATTGCTCCTCCAATTTGATTTTCAAAACAATCAACAACAGATTGTAAAGCCATAACCTGATGCATCAGGGTTTCAATACTTTTGTGATTCTGTTTTTCGGAAAGTCGTACTGATTCTTTCTCAGAATGTAGTCTGGCCATCTCACTTTTCACTCCATTAAGACTCCCAAGGGCAGTCTCTAGCTCTTTCTTCAAAAGTGAAATCGTATCATCCCTGCGACTCATATTCAAGTCTTTCTTCTGAAACAACAATAATCAATGAATTACAATGTTTTAAAAACAGAAACCAAATCCTGAAATTTGACAAAAAGTGTATAATCCATTTTCAAAAGTTACCTTTTTTGCTTCACAAATGTCCACAATGTGACTTCTTTTCAATTCCTCAAGCTCAGCTTCTTTCTGTGTAAGTGCTTCAAGACAACTATCTTTCATCTCAGAAAAACTGTTTACGATCACAAATGCAACCGTTGCAGATGCAGATGCCTTCTTTATCTGCTCCTCCCTTTGTTTATTTTGTTTGATCAATTGACTGATTATTCTGTCCTTTTTACTGCAGTCTTCTTGATGGGCTTCTGTCATTACCATAGTCGCCCCTCTCAGTGACCTCAGCAATCCCTCCATTTCATTCCCTCTGTTTTTTGCATCTTCTAAACACGCATTAAGTTCCTTTATTCGTGACTCCTTTTCAAATATGCTTCGTGTGATCATCTGTAATTGGTCAAAAATCGTAACATCATCAAGATCATGTGAGATGTCCTCAAGTGTCTCATGGCCTGTAGTAAGAACATCATGTATCTCATCACTTAATAATTGCCACTCTTCAGATAAGCTGCTCAACTGTCTTTCTTTCTCTTCATACTTTGATTTGATCTCTCTTTCTTTCATGATACTGTCATCTAATTGCTGTTGAAGGCTGCAAACTTCTTCTTGCAAACAAACTATAACTTCAGCAGTTTCAGCCTCGACTTGCTTCCTCACTTCATCCATTTCTTCTTCATTTGATGCCTGAAATGCCTTATCAGTTTTGTACCAGTTATTCGTTCTCCTGGCTTTTTCAAGAGAATCCTTCATCTTGTTCAACTTGTCTTGTGATTCTTGACTGAGAATTGTATCTTTTTTAAGCTCTTTTTCATGAAGTATTTGAGCATACCGGTCATTACTGTTTCTAAGAGCTTCCACCTCATTGATAGATACAAGTTGTTGAGTCTCAAGAGCCTCAATGACAGATTTTGCTTCCTCAAGCTCCTCCTTTAAGTCTGTATATTGTTTTGTTATCAACATATACTTCTCTTCAGTTGACTTCAAACTTTCCACTATTTCCCCACAGGATGAACTCTCTTCCTTGAGAAGTGTCTTTAGAATGTCTACTTCCAGTTGAAGATTCATAACTTCTTCAATGTAATTCACATGAGTTTCCTCCATCTTTTGGATTGTATGTAAAGACTGATCGCCTACAGAAGCAGCTTCTATTATGGGGTCCTGAAAAGAGCATCATAATGAACCTAAATTGCTGGGAATGTATATTATAATAATTTATCTTTGTACGATTATTATCTCTTATAATAACCATAAGTTAACCTTTATGACCTCAGTAGCACCACCATGGTCATGTGCTATAGATTTCTGGTTTTCCAGTAAAGTATTAAGGGCTGCAATCTCCCTGCATAGTTTTTCATTTCTCTCTAAGCAAGAATTTAGGTTATTTCTGCACATCTCCAACTCTTCTTGGCTCTTTTGCAACTGAAAAATGTAACACTTAAACTTAGACTGATGATAAGTTTTTTGTATTTTACTGAGAAAAGGTAAAAAGACCAAGTGCAAACCTCTAATCTAACAGAATTGTTTTCTTTATTGTCCTGTGCGGCTTCCTATTGCCATTTTCAAGAAGTTACTTCATAGATGATGGGTAAAATAGGAAAGCTTAAATACCAAAACTTGCATATCTTACCTTTTGGATCTGATCATGTTGTTTGTTCTCATCAAGAAAGAGAACCAACTGTCAAAAAAATATTTTGGTTACAAAGGTTTCTACAGCAAGAAATCAAGTTCCAGTTAGGTTTTCATGAATACCTGATTCCTCATTTCAGATACTTCCTTCAATAACATTTCTCTCTCCCCTTCTTCATAAAAGTCTTGAAATCTAGACCATGAACATAACAAGTATTAAGACTAGATCAAAGTGTTTTTCACATTATAAAACCCTAAACCATTCTTAATAAAATCCTTTTTGATGAAATATACCTTCTAAGTTGTTCAAGAAGCCTAATGTTTTCCAAAGCAAAGCGTGTCACTTCTGGGTTCCTATCAACTTTTGCACGAAGCATCTCAATTTCTTCAATGAGCATGTTATTCTCTTCTAGCATATAAGAGTCTGCAGGTATTGATCCAGCAAGAAGAGACTTCATTCGATGAATCTTGTCTTCTCTAAACTTCAACATCATCTTTGTGCACTTATTGTCATCCTCTCTTTGACGAACCTAAAAGTAAATTTCAGTTTTAAATACAATATGCCAGTAATGTCATATTACATACCAAATTGGATAACAATTTACCAGTCGATTTAACTGTTCTATTTCTGCTTCAAGTTGTTTAATAGAAGCTTCCGACATTTGCTCTCTCCTCAAGGCTCCAGTCAATGAAGTCTCTAAAGATTTCAGCTGAGAAACAGAATGAATACAAGCAAATGAGACCCAAAATGTCGGCTTAGTATCTAGTTGAAAAACAAGTATAAATAGTAGCTAATCGTTATAATTTTTTGTGAATTAGCGCACTGAAATAGTAGGTAAAACATGAAACCCCCTAAATATTACTTAGTATACCTGTTTAGAGGAAACCTTCAGGATTTTGTTATCATGTCCATTGCAATCATTCTCTTGTTCTTGTGTAGCCTCTTCAATGACTTTTGGACCAAATGCTAAAGACCTGGATATATTGTTCCTCTTAAGGATAGCAAGCTCCTCCTGATTAAATAAAAAGATGGTTACTTTACCATAAATTTAGGTACATGCTTATTATAGAATATGGATACAATTTTATTGGGTTTGAAAAATAACAATAGAAAAGAAAAGAATTACCTTTAGAAATTGTATTTGCTGTTGAAGCACCATGATATCTCCAGAGGCATCTTCATTTACAACAGCCTTGGAAACAGAAAACAAGATGAAAGGTTTCAAAATGGTGCTTTGAATAAGATCTAAATTATGTAACTTGCTTACATTGTTCTGAATAAGTTTTGCACGCTGAGCAAACTTGAGAGTGTTTAATGTTTCAGTAGCAGAACTGACATAGAAAGACAAGATAAGATGGTTGGTTTATCATTAAAAAACAGGAAGAAAACAAGAAAGTTAAATTATTAAATAAAAGTAAAAATATATGAACATACCATATCGAGGGACTAACATTAGCAATTATCATTGTTTTCGAATTACCACCCAACGAGTCCTGCATAAAATGTTGTAACTTGTAAACATAAGAAAATGAAAAATCATGCTGAATTTCACAGCAAACAAAAAATTAAAAGTTTAAGGTATTCACCTGTAGAAGGAAAGTCAATCTTGAATCTCTGTAAGGAACATGTCGTGTCCTTGCATTAGCACCATCTACTAGGACCATTATCACATGACTAGAAAGATAGATTCCGTGTTACAAATATGGGAACACAAAACAAGAAAAAAGAAAGCAAATAAAGCTGTTCATACCCTAGGGTAGATAATGATTTGTTTATATTTGCAGCTTCCTTTAATCGTTCACCTTCAGCACCTGAAGTTTTTTGTCTATTAAGACAAAAGGAAAAGATTTGATGAGTAACAAAACAGGAAACTATAAAAAAGATTGTAATCAAATGCAGCACCTTTCTGAACCAGCCAGATCAACAAGATTCAGCCTTGCAAATCTAAGGTTAGATGTTGAGTCTTTCTCCCACCTACTTTCAATCACACACGTGAAAACACTGTGGGAACGACTGCTTTCTCTATTCATATTTGTTGCAGCAACTCTCCTATTTGCAGAACCCTATATGTCAAGAAGCACAACAATGATGAGAAAAAAGGTAAAATAAGTAATACCATTTTACCATGAGATAGTTAATAGTAATTACCCGACTCAGAAGCCGAAGGATATCACCCACAGTGTGAACTTCACATTCTGTTAGATTTTCCACATACACACCCTTCTTGACATCCTCCCTTAGCTGAAAACCAGAGAAAGTTAGATAACTGTAGCACTTGTAAGGTTACTAAACAACTAAACTTACTTGCAAATTTGTAGATGAAGGGTCAAGAAGATCAGTAATTTGCTCATTGTAGATTTCTAGAAAAGAACACTTGCAATTGTATGTTAATCTTTCATCCATTCGACTCTCTTCTTCCTGTACATTGGAATGAAAATTGCATTTTCAAGGTGAAGAACTAAAAGAGTGTGAGCTAGAAAATAAAGATACAAATATGTTGTATTTACCGCGATGATTCTAGCAAATAAAAACTCAAACATCCGTGGAGTCATCCCCCGCTGTGGACTTGGTTTTAATTCAAGTTCATTTATCTCACCAAGCATTGTGTGTGTCTTTCCACTTCCAGTCTACATAAGTAAACAAGAAAACTAAAACACGTGTATAATATTATTTTAAAGATAATGAAATGCAGAAATGCATATAATAATGTTACCTGCCCATATGCAAAGATACAACTATTATATCCAGACAAACAATTCTCCACCATTGGCAGACCAACCATCCTAAAAAGAGTTTCCTGCACAAATTCATACTTCTTGTAACACATTGCAATTAAAAGAATCAAGTTCATGGACAAACAGAACTCAGTATTGTTCCTTTCTGGTACCTGGTCAATTGTTTCACAAGCAACATGGTCAAAAGTAAATCGTGTTTCTGGATGCCCTACCCAGGTCAGGCATTGTGCACTTTCTTGTTTTAAACACCTGTTGTAACCTTGAGCACTAAGCTCCATGTTGTTGAGTGGACGAATTCGTATCAAAACCTAAAAAAAAAAAAGCAAACCTCATAAGCTAACCCTTTTGAAGTTGAATAATTGTGGAATTAGTATAAATGTTATGGCAAAAAGGTGAACTTACTTGTACATTATGATCCATCCAGAATGATGGATCTTCTTTGAGGTCAATATGTGGTACCTCCACAGTATTTACAGTAGTGTAGGTGTTCTGAAGTCCTCTAGATAACGCTGCAAAGCTTCCATTGCTGCGCACACCTCCACTGATAGGAGGCCTTGAACTACCTCCCTGAGACAGTCCTGGATTTGGAGGTTTATTCACACTCTTTGTAGGTGTATTCTGTGTAGAATTAGACTGTGTATTCTGGGTAGAATTACACTCGGAATAACCTGAACTTAAAGCTCTTCCAACTGTTCTGCATGACCTAGGAGTGTTTGTATTCATGTTCATATTCATAGTCCCGCTTTTCCCCTCCATCCTTGAATCCGAACCCCATCCATATCTATTCCTAGCTAGACCTCCTTGTTTTTCTGGAGTTTTCATTGGCATCCCCGATTCTGAATGCTTACTGGCATTGACCTTCGTGGGCGTTCTATCCAGTTTCGAGCTTTTAAACCCTAATTCCTGATCACGCTTACCAGGGTTTTGCACAGGGTCTCGAATTGCATTCAATGGTGGCCTGGAGGACGAGTCGGTACCCACCTGAGATGCTGATGATTCATGAAACTTGCCATTTACAGGCATATTTTCAGGTTCATCGAAATCAGTGCTTTTACCAGAATTCCGACGCAAGAACTTGAGATCTCTCAACATTCTGGTTAGCAAAGGAAATAAGAACTTGGAATATTATAAGTAAAGAAAACGATCGAGAACAATAATAGAATGCATACCTGAAAGATGAAGTGAGAAATATTATTCCAAATCTACGACCAACCCCTGAAATTGTTCTTAAAAACAATCAATACAAACTGTAGTATGACATATGTTTTTAGCTCTACATGAAAAACGATGAATGCTGATTCAAAATCTCTCAATCTCCCTCTCACTCTCACCCTCACTCTCTCCCACGCACATCAAGAATCCATTAATGACGGAGTTGAGTTTGAATTTGTGGAGAAATTTGAAATGGGGTAGAAAACATGTATGGCGCTTTTAATTATTTAAATATGGAATAGGGTTTGTTTTGTAAAAAGAAATAAATAAAGGGGAGAACTAAAAAATAAAGGGTATTGCTTGTAGAGGGCTACTTAACGGCTATGCATCCAAGGGGACCTCTAAATTTTGAATTTAAACTTTGAGAAAATACGAATCATATCCATCCCACCGATTACTTTCTGTCTTTCTGATAAATAGCTAATGATTAACAAAATAATCAAATCGAACTAGTGTTTTTTTTTTTTTTTTTTTTTTTTTCGTTTTTCTTCTTATTTTTTATTTTAAATATTTTTTCTTTTCAGTTTATTATTCTCTTTTTATTTTGTTTTTTAAAGATCAGATTTTTTTTCATATATCACTTTTTTATTTTTTATTTTATTTTAGTTTTTTACTTTTTTTTATTTAAGTTTAACATAATGCTTTGATGTTATTTATATAAATTATACAAACCACCTTCAACATCAAATCTTAGTCATCTTAAATTAAAAATATCATTACAAATACAATGTTCTTTAAGATACAAAAACTCAAACAGAATGCAATGTGTTGTTTAAGGTAAATAAAATTCAAAAAAAAAAAGAACATCTTAATCACCATATAAACCACAAAAAAAATGGAAGAAATAGACATCTAATGAACCAAAACAACAAAGCTCTTTGTGCACTATATTAGTTATATTGTAACGAAGCTCGTTGTGGAACAAATATGCATAAAATGAACAATAGCGTTATACATATTGACATTTGTTAGGGGTGTTGATCGGATATAACTTTTGGATTTTGGGTAGTTCGGTTCGGGTAGATTGGTTATTGTCTAATAAAAAAATAGTTGATAACTGTATTGTATAGAAATTTGGATAATTAGTTACGGGTAATTCGGGTATTAGGTTAGCTTCGGGTATTATCCGGAAAAAAAAAAAAAAAAAAAAAAAAAAAAAAAAAAAAAAAAAACTTTTTAAAATTTTTGATTAATTTAATCCTTTCGTTTTACCATAAAAGCGTATGTTTTAGCATTAGTCATAGATCAAGTTGTTTTTTCACTCATATTTATTTGAAATTTAAGGATTCCAATAAAACTTTTATAATTTTTAACATTTTTGTTTGATAATGAGAACAGTGAATCGGTGGTTCACTTTCACATTTAGGTGCACATGATCTCAGGTTTTCGATTGCCGTGTACCTTAAGTACTATGAAAGATGATGAAGAGAAAATAACATATATCAAATAGAAGGAATTTACTTGTCAAAGTTCATGAAAGATAGTAAAACACCGAAATAAAAGATAACTACATGAGGAAGTACGGAGAACTCGGATGTGTAATGATAGTTTTAGTTTATGACGGCTAAAATTTGATGTTTAAAATGATTTTTATAAATTGTATAAATAATGCCAAAGCATTTATGTTAAATGTATATTTAAAAAAAACTAAAAAACTAAAAAAAATATTGATATTTAAAAAAATTGTAAAAAACTGAAATAAAAGAAAAGGTAAAAAAAATGTATATTTATAATAAATAAAAAAACGTTAAGAAAACTGAAAAATAAAGGAAAAATGAAAAAAAAAACTAATTTGATTAAAAAAAATCAAACTACATTAGATTGGTAAATATTTTTTGAAGAACCTTATTTTAGTCAAAAACTCAAGAATATGATATAAAAATTTTGTTTCAAATTTTGATTTCATTTTTCTTTAACACACATCGAATGTGATTTTATAACTTTTGAATTAAAAAAATATATGAATCATGTGTAAGACACAATAGCATCACAATATTTGTTTACAACAACAATATGCTTAATATCACGTTTTTATCAAACATCATAATATTTGTTTACAACAACAAATCAATATTATATTCAAGATTGCAATATCTAACTAATCTATTATTCTGATCATGTCTAACAACATGAGGTCTACGACTCTGGCAATTTGGACAATAATCGTTTAAAATGTGTAACTAAGGTTTGTGGGATCTAGGGTGTTGTATCCTAAAAGGTGCATGAATGGTGATGTTGGCCGATCATATAATTTGGTTGTTGGGGGGCATCAATTGTAACACTTGTTTTTTGGGTATGGTTATTTATTAATATTATGGAAATACAAAAGAGGTTTTTTTTTTTTTTTTTGGGGGGGGGGGGGGGGGGGTGGGGAATGACTTCGCAATACGACCATGTGTTACAGCGTGTAGAGAACACGTGGGGTTGTGATGCGACCTTATGTTGGTCGCGATGTGTCGTCGCCAACAACCCAAAACCCTAGGTCTCCGGATTTGAACATTATTTAAAGGCACTAACTCGTAATGTTTTCTCTTATTTCGAATGTAAACGTCCAGAAACCTTAGAAGTTTGAAACCATAGCCTTCATTCCTTGATTCTTGAACTTTGGTGTCATTAGAGTGAAGCTTGAAGGTGAATCAAGTGTCTTGGGTGCAAAGGAAGTAAGATCCAGAGAGTTTAGGCCTTCTTGTCAACTTATCATCCCATGTAAGTGTTAAAGTTTTCATATTTATGGTTTGTTACTTCTAGATCTAGAGTTTTGGTCATTTTTGGTCATTTTTGGTCTCTTTTGTTACAATATTCTTGGAGTTTGGAAAACTCCTAGTTTGTGTGTTGTTTTAGATGACTTTCTGGACTTTTTGATGTCAAAATAGTGCATGTTAAGCCCTTTTTGTGCTCCATTCATGAAAGCCCTAGCCTCTTCGGCTTTGCTTTTGGATCTAGGATTAGTGTTTAGAATGTTAGGGATTTACATGTTAGTAAAGTTTGGATTTTTATCCATTAGACACCTCCCATTATGGTGTCCGGAAAGTTATAGCCCCTAACTTAACAGATTAAGCACTTTGTAAAGTTGGTCATCCCTTGGTCACAGCACGACACGTAGGAGGGAATCGTGATTGGTTTAGACTATAGTATGTGTGCGCAACCATAGGCTGGTCCCAGCGTGTTGGACGTTGACTATTTTACCGGTTTAACTTTTGATCAAACTAGCCATGCCTTCAACATCCCCCTCATTGCTTATGCAGAATACATCCCAAAATATCAAATATTTCAACAATAAAATAAATTGTCAAAATGTATATGAGTACATCACATTCAATATAAAAACAAAGGTCAAATTAAATTATTAATTCAAACTTGATGGGGATATGGGCACACGACCCGACTTCAGCATAACATATCATCCTCAAACCGATTGACAGAGTGAGACGACGATTCATACTCTTGAGGATATGTTGAGAGCATGTATCGAATTCGGTAGGAGTTGGGATTCATATCTTATGTTGGCATTTTTTTCTTACAACAACAATTTCCACTCCAACATTAGTATGCCTCCCTTCGAGATGCTTTATGGGAGGAACTGTCGGACCCCGATTTGTTAGGGAGAGGTTGGTCAGAGGGTTATATGGAGCATTGATGTCATGCTCAAGACTATTAAGCATAATCAGTAGGTTCTCGAGAGACTGCAGATGGCGTAGAGTCGACAGGATATCTATGTCGATAGGCGTCTTTCTAAGTTAAAGTTTTAGGTGGGATATTTGGTTTTGCTGAAGGTGTCGCCTTGGAAAGGCATAATCCAGTTTCAGAAGAGGGGCAAGTTGTGCCTCGTGTGTAACACCCCAAAATTTTCAAAGTTATGGTTGTAAAATCTTTTCGGGAATTAACCTGCATTTAATAAAAACCTAGGTCCCACAAAAACATTTACAATTAAAATATTGGGTGTTACTATTAAGCATCAATACAACCATAGCGAACAAATAAGAATTATATCAATAAAATTAATAAGGAACTTAACAAGTTCCACTCCATTCTTTATCTCTTAACTTCTAACTTTCATTTATCATCTTTCTCCTTGAATATAACATGGGATACATGACATGTAAAAAAATACGTAATAAAATAATGTCTCGTGAGTTATGTGGGTTTGTGACCCAAAACACATTTACATGAAAAATCATTTCATTCATAACATAACATAGTTTTAGACCATAAAACATTTTCAAGGAAAACTCTTTTCCTACACATCATAAATATCATTTATCTCAACATTTCATATTTTATCATTTCATTTCAAAAGACATTTTTCCACATTCCATTCTCATTTATCATTAAGGGCTAATTCTGATATTAAATCGTTGACATTTTTATACTTAGGGTACCCCCAAGTCTAGACAAGGTAGAAAGAAAAAATCAAACCACCAATGCATCATGCTAATAAGAACGTCTACTCCGCGAAGGGTGACGTCATCCCAATAGATTCCTCTAGATCCCGTTATGGGGACATCATGGCTCGAGCAAAATATTATTGTCATTACTTTCCAATTCTTGTCATTTTTTTTCCGTTTCTTATCATTACTTTCAATGTTTTACACATTTCATATGTTAGTATCTAATTACTCGTTTCAAAATTAAAACATCAATACTTTAAACATTTCAACGTTATCAAAACATTCGTTCTTTCAAAACGTTATTTGCTTTCAAAACATTATTGCTTTCAAAACATTATTGCTTCTAAGACATTCTTTCGAAACATTCCTTTCAAAAGTATTTAACATATTCATTTCAAAACATTTCATATATCAAAGCATTGGTTTTTCATTATCATAAAATCATTTTGACATGTACCCCAAAGTGGGAAAAATGCCAACACGTGCAATTTTTTTCTCATTAAGGCACTCTACTTTGCATAGTTCTTGGAGGCCCTTTCCAATTCAATTTGTACCATTTGTATAGGTTCTCGCACATGATTATGAGGTGTTTTATCATTCAAATACACCCCACTTAATCCATTAAGTGGTCATTGAACCCTTTTAAGATCATATTAATCCTCAAATCCCACAAGAGTGGGTTAACTTGTCTGTTGTTCAATTAAGCATTCTAAAACTTACAAAGATTGTTCCCAACTTATATAACACTCAAAT